CACCTGCCGTCGGCCAGCTCGGCGGGCCCGGCGTTCGGGCCGCACCCGCAGCCGTCGGCGCCGTCGTCGGGCCCGCCGGGTGCGCGCATGTCGCTGGACGGCGGGCCCGGAAGCCTCTCCCCGACGGCCGACGGCGGTGGGCCGTCGAGGCTGCTGGGCCACCCGTCGGTGGCGGCGGCGCACCTGAGCCGACTCAAGAGGCAGGTTGGGGACCTGGGCCGCCCGTCGATCCTGAGGCAGCGGTCCGGGGTGGTGCCGCCCAAGAAGGGGGCGTGAGTTGTGTGTTGCTTTTGTATGTGGGGGCGGTTTGTACCTTTGATGGTGTTGTTTTGATATGTGCGTCCTTGTTGGATCTGCCTGTCAGGTCTGAAAAAGGGCTTTGGATGAGGTAACTTTATTATCAAGCCGCTGCGTGAAAAGAACTTCTACAATCCCTACTCATCCAGTGTGCCTGCTGAATTAAACCGGCTTGAGAGGGCAACCTTTGTTTATCGCATCTGGGCACTGGCGCTGGCGTTCCAGGCGGTACGAGGATCTGGACCGAACGTGCCTGGCTGGTAAAACCCTGCGGTCCCGACATAGGTGCCTCCTCCAAACCCTGCTGCCCCTCCCTGCGTTCCCATCCTCTCCGTGGAGTATCCCAGCGACCCGGATCCGGGCATCATCCCCTGCATGCCAGCTGCCCCAGCTGCACCCGCTTCGGGTGATGGTCCAGGCGACGGGTGGCCGCCGATGGGCATTGAGGCCCCTGGCGGTGCTCCCGAGGCCGCTTGGTAGTGTTGGTACTGATGAGGCTGCTGGGGTGGCTGGTGCTGCTGGTGCTGCTGGAGCGTCTGGGGCTGCAGGTACTGCTGGGGCTGCAGGTACTGCTGGGGCTGCAGGTACTGCTGGGGCGGCTGGTGCTGCGGGTATTGGTAAAATATCGGCGAAGGAGTCGCAGCTTGCAGCGGCATTATGGCCCCTGGCGACGCTGGCGCCGCAAAGACCGGATGCTGCTCCTGGGTCGCCGGCGCCATGCCATCGTCGCGGACACCCGTGCCAAATGTGCTTGCATTCGGGCTCGTGCCGGCCTGCGACCCGCCGAACCGCGCCTGGTTCCCGTAGGCCTGCTGCGGCGCCGCCGGGCCGAGGTTGCTCCCGTCGTGTGCCTGGGGCCGCTGCTGCTGTTGTTGTTGCTGCTGCTGCTGCTGCTGGCCAGCCGCCGACATCGTTGAGGAGCCGCCCCCCTGCGCGCCAGGGATACGCGCGGTAGCAGCCGCTCCTGCAGTCCAGAGCGCCCAGGTGGGGGCTCCCTGAGGCACCGGCGGAGCCGTGGTCGTTCCAGGGTGGCGGGCCCTAACGCCGCCGCCGTCGACCAGCGACCCGACCCTGGCCCTGATGCCGAGCTCGCTGGCGCGGGTGTCCAGGTCGACGCCGTACACGTTTCTGTAGTATTCCATGAATCCGTAGTACTCTTTTGCGACCTTCTCAAAGTGCCTGACGCTCAGGTTCACAACGTCCAGGGCCTCATCCTCGGCGTCGACGTCGGCGACGTCGTGGCCGCTGCCGCCGACGCCCCGCGCCTCGTACTCGGCCAGCGCGATGGCGGTCTGGCACGCGTTGCGAATCTGGCGGCCGTTCCAGCGCGCCCCGGGGTTGTTGATCCAGTACTCGGCGATAAAGTCCTTCACCTGGTCATGCTCGACAACTAGCCTCCTTTTCTGCCTTGTGAATCGGTTTCGCGCCCGTTTCAGATTTAGCTCGAGCACTTGTAGCGAGGAATACAGTGTGAGTGGCGGATAGAAGAGGCTCATGTGGATGCGGGATATGACAGCTTCGTCAAAATCCCCGACGCGGTTGCTGGTGATAAACAGGACGCCGGCGTAATACTCGAGGGTGCGTAGGAACACTACAAGCAGGCGTAATTAGTTGGAGCGAACTAAAATATCGCAACATGCATGGCTTATTAGGGTATCCCATAGTACCTGCAACGAGTCCATTTCTGATGTGATCGTTGGGTGTCCTCGTAGCGAGGAAGACCTCGGCCTCATCCAACAACAGGATGCATCCCCACTTGTTGGCGAGCTTGAAGTTCTGCACCAAGGCTTCTTCCACGTCCTTTGGCGAGGTCCCAAGGTCACCTAGAGGCCCAATTTTCAATAGGCAGTTAGCTGCTCATTCCTGGACTCGAGTCTCTTGATAAGTGCACTCAAAGTTACTGGCGCTTAATTACCGCATGTGATGTGAAAGAGTGGCTTTTTAAAGTACTCCGCCACCACCTCTTTAAAAATGAAAACTCAGTCTCGAGTCTTGATACAAAAACACTCCGGAAACAATCTCGTTAGTTCTTAGGGCGGGCTTTATACCTGCAGTGGTGGTTTTTCCCACCCCTGGTGCCCCATGCAGTAGCATCACAAGACCCTTGCCTTTACTTGTATGTTAGCCGATTGTTCCGGTTGCCTCGGCTATCGAACCTTATCTTGGTCAACTTATTACGGTTTGCGTACCTTTGCCTCGTACAATATCTGTCTGCTCATGCTTGCGATCTGCCCTTTTGTCACGGAAGTGTTGCGAAATCAGAGACTTCACGAGCTCCTTGTGCCCTTCCGGGAGCACCAGCTGATCGAAAGATTTACCAAGCGGGATTGGACTGTCGGCGTTTGGGGCGGTTGGAATCTGCTGCTCTTGGATGTACGCCTCTGAGAGATCCCGTACTGAGAGGGTGGCTGCACGCGAGGACCTTTGTAAGCATTCAGCCAGTATAATCGCGATGGCGCAATACAGGATACTTACCCCATCTCCGGCTCTCAAGGAGAAATCCAAACACTTTGTCGGACATTATGATCAGCTCTTCTTCGCAGACTTTGCCCTTGTTTTCGAGTATCTCGCGGAATGGGTGGCATTTGACGGTGAGTCCAAGTGATTCCGGGGATGATTTGGAGACGAGAGAATCCCTAAACTCCTGGTTACGGCACGATTCGGTATGACGGTCGTTCCAACTGAGTTCCCACCTGCAACAGAACATATTGCACGCTCGTAGGGAGTCTAGTTTCACCAGGCTGTGTCCTGGAGGGCTTTTTAAGCGAGGCCGTGACTCCTGGTGAGCTCCTTGACTAGAGAACGCCGCCTCACCGTCTATGACGACTTGGCAGTCACTCTCGTGCTGTTCATCGACAGTGAGACCTGTGAAGTGCATGTGCTTCACATCTAGCAGGTCGAGAAAGAGCCTGCCAACTCTCAGGAGTTCCTGACGGAGCCCATGAGTTTTGGCGGCCCGAAGTGGGTAGTAATCTAGGGTGGTGACGTCGACCAGGCCCTCGAAAAAGCGAGGTGAGAATTCTGATGTCACTGGCCCGACGATAACGCCGTCGGTCCCGATGTGGACCAGGGTGATGAGGTAAGAAATGCTGGCCTGCCATAAAGTATCTGCATCGTCCGCTTCTTCTGAGATATTGTGATGAGGGCTGGTGGTTTTGACCCAGAGCACACGATATGCTTGCTTCTCGTCTTTGCTGACGACAAAGTCGCCCGGCTCGAAGAGGTACGGTAAGTCGCTGTAGGCTATCGGCATTGATCCTGCAGATTCATCGCGCAGGTACGCTCTTCTTTCCAGGATTACTTTCTCGATGAGGTCGTAGATGCACTGGAGCTCCTTGAGTTCCTCCATGAGGGTCGCCTCAGTGTGAGCCTGCCCAGAAAGCCTGTCTTGGCTCTTCAAGTGGTTGATCCGGTTCAAGATGCGAGAAGATCTCCAGATCAGGGCGAGGTATGGCCGGTAGAGGAGGCGATGACTGGGGCGGTTGGAGTATCCGCAAACCTTCATGAAGAATGGAGAACTTATCCGCACCCTCGCTGGAAGTTGCTGCTGGAAGGATGGACGTGGCGAGGGACGCTTAATCTCAGAGGAGTTGTCCCAGAGCGGGGTCTCGGGCTGTTCGTAGTCCAACGAAATTGTCTTGCTCCCGACCTTGGCTGTCTGCTCCGGAACCGGGTCACCAACAAGTAGATGGACGACAAACCTGTGGCGGAGGTGAAATGCACGCCGAAACTCGACCCATTCCGTCCAATGATGGCCAATTGTCGTCACAATGTCATCTTGTGGCTCATCCTCCTTGGTTTTGGAGCCGGAATCGGAAGTGCTTGAATCAGACTCGGCGAGCGCCTCGCTATCTCCAGTCTTCTCTGGTTCATTTGCGGCGTCGAAGCCACACGGCTCGCTCGCGTCGGGTGCATGGGCGGGCCCGGAGGCATTTTCCTCGCCTTTGACCCGAGCGGGCTTGTCGTCAGGGGCGTCTTGTTGACCTGTGGCGTCGGCATCCCGTAGCTCGCTCTTTCCAGTCACGGCGGTGGGGTTGCAGGCGGTTGAATCGGTCTCGGGTGGCATGTCACCATCCCTGGCAGCATCCCGTGGACTCGTGGCTTTGGCGTCTCGCGCACCTTCTGCTGGCTCGTGGGTCTTTCCTCCAGAGCTTGATGTCCAGTGTTTCAGGGTCAGACGATCTTTCAGTCTCCGGGAGCTTTTCTTCGTGGTCTCCTCCGATGAAGTTGCCACGTTCATCGTGCTGCCATATGAGGGTGGTGGGCAGGGAGGAGTGCGATAAAGCTGTCACGAGTAAGCACTGCGGAGTGTCTAGGATTTAGAGAGCTGTGTCCGAGAAGGGCGGCCAAAAAAAGTAACGAGGGGAGTACAGGGGCAGCGGGCGCGATGGAGGTGCTCAATGGAATAAAGAGTGGCCGTGTGTGTGACGAGGAATGGATTGTTGAAGGGGCTGAGTTCAACAGCCAAGCCAGGTTTCTCCCTAGTTTTGCCCAACTGACCCTCCCACCTTCTGTGGCGCGGCGCCACGAATACCAGGCGGGCAGCTAGCTGATTTGTTGCCTTGGCTGTAGTTGGGCGTTTGTGCATGCACACGATTTGCCCAATGATAAGGAGTAATTCCCATCGGGCACCTCTTTATGGAAGTCGGTATCTTCGTCCATTGGAATTTCCCTTACGGATTCCCTTACTCTCCACACTTTGGGAAGGCTCGACCAAGGACACACACAATGTCCAAAGCACAGTCGCCGCCGACCGAAACTTTCACTTTTACGAGCCTCTAGCTAGCAGCCGTCGACGTCGTGGACCACAGGCTACCGTGCTATCACCCCGCGCTACAAGCGATGTATCAACAGACAGACCACGGTGTGGCAGCCAAGCGTTTTGTGCCCTCTGGTCCGAATCTCGCGCATACTCAACCGTCGTCGCCATGTCCACCACTTCCGCGCCCCGAGGTCCCAGTGATGGATGAACTGACATTCTGGAGCCAGATATTCACAGGAGCCATGGAGTCCCTCAAGACTCAGCATCCGGTTGAGCCGAAGGACCGGTTCGAATCTGGGTTTAGCATCCGTCAGCTTGAATCGTGGGGCGAGATCAATGCCAAGATCAACCAGGCACAAGATAGGTTCAATGACACCACTGGGGTTTTAGGCGTGATCAAAAAGGCCACAAGAAAGGTGGCAGACAACGCGTTTTACGCGCAGGGGGCGGTAGCATTTGTCCCAGAGTTCGATTACTCGTCCCCTGTTCTGGCACTGGTCAAGGTCCTGCTGAAGGTGAAGGCTCCGTGCTGCTGATTATGTCGGAGTGGAGTGGTTAGAAGCAGAGACGGAATGAGCTAATAAACAGAACGGGGTGCCTCTTGGACGGTGTCACAGGTAGCAAAAACCACAAGCACGTTGCGGCACAAGCTAGCTCAGAGCCTGGAGGACTTGGAGCAGAGCCTCGGAGACGTCGAAACCTACCTTAACATGTTCCTCGGCGATGTGAATATCTTCAAGGCATCCGTGCATCTGGTCGCAGCGACCTTTCACGGCGTGGAGAATCTGATTGGTTACTACATCCGAAGTCAAGGTGTGCCGGCCACTTTCCTCTCGCCTGCCATGAGCTGTGAGGAGCAGAATTTCTGACTTCTAGAACTACCTAGTCTCCCGCGGAGCGTCGGCTGCCGTGTCTGGCGACGAGTATCAGAGAGATCTTGTCGTCAGCCTGGAACAGATCAAGGCCAGCAGCCAGCAGCTTATCCACCAAGCACGCAACTCACATATGCACATGGACAAACAAACACACGATGTAGTGCACCAAGGCAAGTTGTGTGCGTGACCGAAGAAGATAACTATTGCTGACGTTCCTCCACGCAGAGTTTGCGAAGCAGAGCGCGACGGCATATGCCTACCATCGGGAGAGCGTACAAAGCACCGAGAAGATCGCGGCCGAGTGTACAAATTTTCTCGTGGAGCTTTTGGGCCAGTACAATGCCAAGATCAACTCTCGCATAGACATGCTTGGCATCCAGATACAAGAGCAGATTCGAGCGGCCAGCCCCGCCATTATAGTCCATCCTCCACAGCGCATGGCGTACGAAAGGGATGATATAATCATGCGCCATCCCCCACTCCCCGATGGCGTGGAGAAGAATGACATGGAGTACGTCCTCAGCATCCAGCACCGGCTGCCGAAGACGGACTGCCAGCGCGCCGGCCAGCTGGTGGCGCAGTTTCTCTTCCAGATGTGGATGACGCACCCGTCCTCAGCTGAGCTGCTGGTGCACGGAGACCTCCAGGTCCAGGGTCAACAGCTGCACGTGTCTGGAGTCACGCTTTTTTGCGCCAATTTTGTCCAGACCATCGCGGCGCTGCCCCCGGCCGCGAACTTGTCGGCGGTCTTTTTTTTCTGCGGCCGTCACTCGTCCCCCAGCGAGCCTACAGCTGGCGGCCTTGGCATGCTCCGATGCCTCGTCGCACAGGTCTTCGGCATCCTGGCGCAGCGACGCGGGCCGGGCATCCCCATAGACTTTGACAGCACCCTTGACCCCGACCAAATGATGTCTGGGGACATCGCTCAACTAGGCCAACTTTTCCTACGTCTCGTTAGCCTCCTCGGGGGCAGTGGCGGCGGCGGCGGCGGCGGCGCAGCGCCCTTCACGACACTGTTTTGCGTCATAGATGGGATCATGTACTACGAGAGGGACCAATTTCGGGCTGAGACTGAGCAGGTCTTGGAACTTTTGCTTTGCATGGCACGGATGGATCCCTTGCAGTCGCTAGGAGGCTGCATCTTCAAGCTGCTCATCACGAGCCCCGCGCCGACGCGGGCGGTCCGGTCCATGTTTCCGCCTGAACATATCCTGACCATGTCGCACAACGCCATCCCAGCTACGGGGCAGAACTTTAGCAACCAGGTACTCGCGAGGCGGTTTGGAGACATCGGGGTGTCAACTCGTCCATAAATCGACGTGGGGATCACTTTTCAATATAGCGGAAAATGGTCAATTCTCTCGCCTAGCGGTCCGGATCATCTCCGTCCCCTTTACAAACACCAGCAGCCCATTCCTTCCCAAACCAAAACCTTTCTCTTCCTCCAGTCCCCTAAATCAACTTCTTCTTAATTTTCCTTTGCTACGAGTAGTGCTCCGCTACGCTATTCGCAAATACCCGCAGCGCCGTAACATTACTCGCACCCGCCCCCTACTCCCTACCTCGATGATTTCCCGTTCCCCCCAGGCTCAGGGCGCAAACCCTCACCTCTGCTTTTTCGCGTCATTCCCGCCCTTCCTCTTCGGATTGTTCCTGTAGAACAGTATATAAACCATATCCCTGACCCAGCCGGTCCACCCCCTGATGCGCTCGATGGTGTTGAGCAGGCGCGTGTACCGCCACACAAACGCCTCGACACTGTCGTAGTCGTGCGCGTAGCACTCCCACACTGCCTGCCCTCCTCCCGCTCCTCCTCCTCCGTTCTGCCTAATATACCCGCCCCGCCGCCCGTCCGCTTCGTCGCCGTCGCCGTCGCCGTCCACGTACTCGACGGCCTCGCCGCCGTCCAGCACCTTTATGCGCGGGCCGACGACGAGGGCGCGGCCCCGGACGGCGCGGTCGGCGGCCAGGCGCGTGGCGGCCTCGACGACGTCGGGCAGCGACGCCATGCCCGCGCCCGCGAGCAGCGACATGCCGCCCGCGGGGATCAGCGGCGTGTCGATGAAGTAAGGGCAGAGCATGTTGACGCGCACGCCGTCGCCGTGCCGCCACGCGGTGCAGCGGAGGGTCCGGAACAGGCCCGTCAGTGCGTGCTTGGCCGCGCAGTAGAGCGGCTGGCCCGGGAGCGGGAACACGCCCGAGGCGGACCCGATGAGCAGGATGTGCCGGTCGCGGTTGTCGCGGTCCCCGTCGCTGTTGTTGTTGTTTTTGTTGTTGCGGGCCAGCCAGTACAGCGCCAGGTGTACAGAGTACAGCACGCCCGTGAGGTTGACGTCGACGACGGCCAGCGACGGCGGCGGTGGGGGTGCAGCAGGTGCGCCGTCGTCATCGTCGTCGCCGCCAAGCGCTGGGGATGGGTTCTCGAACCCGCGCCCCGACGCCGTCGACGTCAGCTCGGCGATGCCGGCCGCCGGCACCACGGCGTCGATGCCGCCCGTGGGGCTGGCGCGCGCCGCGGCCCGGAAGAGCGCGACCTGGCTTTGCCAGTCGGTCACGTCGCAGCGCTGGAAAAAGTGCCGGTGCTGCTGCTGCTGCTGCTGGTTATCATCGCCGCCGGCCGAGGTCCGGAGTTCCGCGACGAGGGCCTCGCCGGCCACGGCGTCGAGGTCGCCGATGGCGACAAAGGCGCCGAGCCGCGCCCAGCGCCGCGCCAGCGCCGCCCCGATGCCCGACGCGCCGCCCGTGATCAGGATGGTGCTGCCCGCGAGGGTGGAGGGATCGTAGGGCGTGTTGACGTCGACGGGCGGGGACTGCAGGATCTCCTCGACGAGGCGGTGTGTGTGTTCGGGGGCGAGGGCCGCCATTGTCGGGTCTGTGCCTGGGTCGAGGCTGTGGTGTCCTTGTAGTCGATATGGATATTTGTCGGCCTAGCTGCTTAGATCCCTTTTTTCCCCCCAAGAAGCCCTGATGTCCTTCACCCTCTCCCAACTTTGCAGAATGTGCAGGGAAACAGATGGGAGGCGGACACAAATATTAAGTCCAGCATTGTTGGCTCAGCCGCACCTGCGCGTTGGCAAATCCCATCGAATTGTCGGTCAAACAGTCCGACCACGGCCGCTACGGCTGTTGCGAGCCTGTCAGTCATCGCTGCATGCGGCTGATGGCCAACGAAAAGACGCCAGCTAATATTTTAGGGTCTTCTGCTAGGGTATCAACCAAGCCCAAGGTAGTAGCGCTGAGGTAGCTTGGCGCTTGGCCCTCATAGATCGCGCGGCTCTCAGTGGCCAGAACCCCAATTCGTGCTGTGGCTTTTTTGGCCGGGATTGGAACCTGAACTGGGAGGGTGGTGTTGGCGCAAGGCGAGAAAAAAAAAAGCAATGACGATACGACGATACTGATTGTTGGGTGGGTTTTTTGTCATGGTGGGCGAGATGGGTTATGGAACGGGACCGTGGGCAGGAAACCACATATAGTGACGAAATGATGGGTGTACCCGAAGATAGGAATGTCCAGAATAAAAAGAGACGGATCGACAGCAGGACATGGCAAGGGAAGACCACCCCCCTCAGATATCCGCGATATACCCTCACTCGTGGGGCGATCCGAGACGTATCCCGCGCCCGGGCTTGCTGAAATCACGGGAAGCACCACATGCTCTGGGCTCCTCTCCCCCCGCACCATCCCGCGCCACGGTCATACTACTAGGCTCTTGTTGCGCCACCTGTTAGCCTAGGAGGGGGGAAGAAGATGCACCCCAGTAGCGCGCCCGCCAACTGCCGAGCGTGGAAATACACCAACGGGGCAGATGCCGGGGTTGTGGCAGGTTGGCATGACTGGTGTGTTGGGTGTAGACAGGGCACCGGGTTGAACGAAAGCTGTAGGCTTGCGCCGCCGAGGTGTGTGTGCTATCTTGTTTCGCTCATGCAGGGGCATCGCCATGATTTTCTGCTGTGCTGATCTTTCGCAAAGGGTGGGAGGACAAAAGTTGATATCACCACGCAAAAATGGCGCTTAGGTGCGCTTAGGTGTCGGATGGGGGTAAGGAACGACACGACGTACAAAAGAATCAAGGCATGTAATCTCATGATATTTTCCAACAAGGGTGAGAGCCATATACGGCATGGCTAGAGAGAAAACGAACAGCATTAAGCGACGGACGTCCTCATTAAAAAAAAAACCCCAATAACACAAAGTTGCACGCGAGTGTGAAAGGTAGCAACAAGAAAAGACGGTTCCAGACCAGTTGAGGCGGATGAGGGGCCCAAAGGAAAGCGGCAACTCAACCGACATCCTCGCAGCACCGGACCATCTCGCACAGCGCGCGGACGAGCCAGGGATCGACGCCGTCATACCTCATCGTGCCTCCCGTTCCCCGAATGCTGCTGCCTCCGCTCCCTGCTCCCGACCCGGCCGCCACCGGGGTCGGGGCGGAGCCCTCCGTGGTCAGCTTGATCGTCGTGATGAGATTGACCACGCACCGCCCCAGCGCGTCCCGGAGGCTGCGGAGCGAAGCCTCCGACTCGGGCCCGTTCTGCGCCTTGTTACTGTAGCCACCGCCGCCGTTTGGGACAGCACCGCCTCGGGACGGCGGCGGCGCCGAGGCTATGGACCCATCGCGCCCGCGGCGCTTGGATGTCAGCCTGTTCCCCACTCTGCCGCTGCCCATGGTCAGTGTCCGGCGGTGGCGGCCGCTCGCGATGCTGGCAGCGCCGCTGGCCGTCCCGCCCAGGTCCACTATGCCTAGCTCGGTGGCGTGGACCCGGACGATGGACGCCTGGGTAGCCGTCCCCGTGCCGGGCGGCGCCGAGGTCGCCGTGCCTGGCCTCCCTGGGGTAGCGGTCGACCCGGCCGCGCCCTGCTGAAGACCAAGGAGATGCGCCGCCTTCTTGGGTATCCTGCGGTTGCTCTCGTCGTTGCCGCCGCCACCACTGCTGCTACTGCTAGTAGCGCTCCCGCGGCGCAAGGGGGAGGACGGGCTGCTGGAGAAGGAAGGGCGGGGATATTGGTCTGGGGCGGATGCCATGTTTGCTAATGCGGCAGCCGCAGCGGCATCGCAAAGCAGTACGATGTAGTTGTACGCTACTATGTGGGCGTAAAGCGCGTCGCAGAGGTAGTCGGCGGCCCCTGGGAAGACTGTCCTGAAACGAGCAAAGTCCGGGCAGACAAGCGAGCCCTGATAGTGAGTCCTTGCCGGCTTCTTGTTTGTGGGGAGGTCACCACGGAGTGCATGGTGATGCTGCCCGTGACGGTCGTGGCGGAACTGGAATGATGAGCCCTCGTGGTGGGAGCCCAGGCTCACCGACGACTTTCTGGGCAGGATGTTTGCCAGTCGCCATCGTTTGTGAGGCCATGTTGGCGACTGCGTACATGTCGGGAGCGAGGCAGACGAGAGGCTCGGGGTTGCCAATAAAAGCGAGCGGGCCTCTGCGTTTTCGGGAGAATTGAGTCGCCGTAACTTTCGTGAATAGGCCCTGATGGTCTCGATCGAGAGGCTCGAGCAAAGGAGCATCGTCTCTGGGAAGCACGCCGTCGACACCATCAGCGTCTCAATGACATCGGGGGGCAGAGGGATAGGCGGTGCCGGCGCTCCCATGTCTGGGGCCGAGCGGAGCGGCGAGGCAAAGGCCATTCCAACGGTGGGGTCTAGGCTGACGTCGGCGTCGGCGGGGCCGTCCCACCGCACGGCCTTGGGGCTCTTGCTGCCCGTCTTGCGACTAGCCTCGGAGCTGCCACGGTATTCACCTGAGCGTTTCTCGCCGTCGCCAGAGTCAGAGGCCGGCAGGCTCCCCGAGTTATACACAGAAGACAGCTGGTCATCTACTTGTTGGCCACCATTCCTAGGGCGAAGAGCGATGGTGTAGTGTGATCTGTCGTTGAATGTGGCAGACAAGGGGGAGCGAGGTGTTTCGCTCCTGGCAAAGTCGAGAGATGGCCTCGTGGCGCCATCCGTGATGAAATGATAGTCTTCAAGCGGCTTTGGCGAGCGGCCATGGCGGAGGGACGATCGACGGCGAGGGACCGATAGGCCACCCTGGACCAGCGACGCCACGTCGGAGATTGACGGGGCGGGTTCGGGAGCGTGAGTGGGCGTGTAGGCGTGGCCAACAGGGCCGACATGGGTGCCAAAGCTAGAGTCTCTCCCTTGGGTGTCGGGAAAATCGGGCTCCAGGTCTACCCAGCTCTCTGCAGGGCCATGTCCCGGCGACGTCAGCCCCTGCGGGTACGAGGTGGTGGAGGAGCGCCTGCCGGACGTCACCGAGGTGGCGGCCGTCGTAACCGATCGGTGGCGCCGCCGCACCGGGATGGGCTCCATTTCGAACGACGACGGTGAAGACTCACTGCTGGAGGAACTGCCAGGGCCATGTTCTGACAGCCAGGGCAACACGACCGCGTCCTCAGCATCGTCCACAAAAGGCCGGCGGTCGGCTTGGGCCACAAGGGCCAAGCGGGGTCGTGGGCGTTCTTGCTGTTGTAGTAGCTGCGGCAGTTGTGGCCGCTTCCCCAGCGCTGTGGGAGACAGGGGCGGCGGTGGCAACTCGGGCTCGCTCTCCTCGGCGAGGTCTCGGAGTCCCCGTGAGGAACGCACCCTTTTAAGGTCACGCGGCCTGCAGGGAGAAGAGGGCTCGTCTGAACTCGGCGTCATGTCGTGGAGGTTGTAGTGAAGATCCCGGTCGACGGCGGCTACTGCCGAGCTTGGAGTGCCCGATGTCATGTGCCTGAAGGTGAAGATGGCTTCGGATTTCTCGAGGTCCCATGCAAGAATTTCGGGAAAGTTGCACCCCATATCGTTGAGGCACTGCTCTGGCTTCCACCGGCAGAGGTGGACGCACGAGACGATGTGCGGAACGGGCTGGATTTAATCGGCTGGGGACAGTCCAGCAACGGCTGTGGAGCAAACGCCAGCGGCTGGGGACCTAGACCGGACGCTGTGCACATCCCTCGACCCTCTAGCTTTCCCTTCGTGTTGTTCCCACTATCACGCGTAGCTCACGTCACACGCAGACATGCCGCTTCTTGCTACTCTGCTGGATGAGTGGGCGCACGATGCGAGGTCAATATAAACACGGATCCCTGCCGCGCCTCGCACAAGTAGGAAGCTCTTGTGCAACTAGGGCGCCGGCCAGGAAAAGCCAGGAACTCAGGCCAGCGGGCAACTCGATATGTAGGGGTCCTGATGCGAACGCTGAGTAGGTACGTTGTACCAGTAAATATAAGTGCAGGCAGGAGGGACAAGCACAGGGGCATTGAGAAGGAACGAGGTCGGCGGGAAAGAGCCATGTGCCGCTATGGGAGGCAAGGGCGGCATTTAGACTTTATACTGGCCTTCACAAATTCTCCGGGTGGTGGCCTGCCCGAGACGGGAATGGGGTGCAAGGCAGGGGGTCGTGATGGTTGCAGCGCGCAACGAGCTGCCAAGCCCAAGCAAGCAACGCGATGGCGTCCATATCCCTCACGCTAGCAGCCACAGGACGCCAAAAATACACAGGCACAACCACAAGCAGCACAGCTGTGCTCTGCTTTGACCTCCACTACCTGCAACGACTCGATCACTCCAGCTTCGGGGGGGCACCGCCCTAATCGCAGTCGATTCGCGAATCAGTCCAAGGGATGCGCGGCGTCGGCTGGCCGAGACAACGTCGCACAGCCCAGAGCTGGACGCTATGGGCGGACGCAGGAGGGGAGGGGGTAAATAAAATAAATAAATAAAACATGAAAAAAAAAGGAAACGAGAGAAAAAGGAATGAAAACAGGAGCTAAAACATTGGTGGACAGCAAAAATCAAAAACGCTTCAAATCGAAAAGCAAGTCCCGAAGCACTGCCGGTTGGTTTAGCCCACTTGGCGTGGCTGTCTGCCGGTCATAGGCTGCAGCTAAAAGCTGACGCCAGAACCCGGCAGACAAAACGTTGAGAGGGTGACGGCGGGCGCTAGCAATGCCTGGGAGGGAGGTCGAGAAGGGGACGCACTGGCCTAGTGGCGGGCAAACAGGCGCCCGTCTCTGTTTGACGGCGGGAAAGCAGGCGAACCACTTCCCGCACCATACGACAGCGGTAGGCCAAGTACTACGTGGCCGGCAGTGCTCCCCAGGAAACCATGTGCTATAGACATGGTAGCTTCTCCGGATCGCGATGGGATCATTTCTGGGCTCGAGCTGCGTCTGTACAACGCCGGGCAGCCACCGACCCCCTGCGTCTTTCTTTTCTTTTCGCGCAGAGCCAAACGTGTGCAGGGAGGTGGTGGAGTCCAGCATGACCCGAAACTCGGCAGCGGAAAACCTGAGTGAGGTAGATGGGCCCGCGGGCGCTGTCGAGGGCGGGCGACGGACGGATAGCCGCAGCGAGAGGGTACTGCAATGTGCGACGTGCGACGCTGCCTGGGAGCATTGTGGACTGTCTTCTCGTTTTCCCCTTGGGCCTGACATGGTGCTGCTGCACGTACATGGCTGCACTGCAGCGGGCAACAAGGTCACAAGGATGGAGGGCCCATGTGCGGAAAAGGAGAAAGAGTAAGCCAAGCTCTCGGGAAGGCCATCGGTGCGACTGGCACGCGGGTGTTCACTCGAAGTGTTCACTCGAAACATCAGTGCTGGAGCGGACCCTGCCAAATCAGACCGAGAAGGCAGCGGAGGATGGTCGCGCCACTCGGGAGGAGGAGGCTCGAGCTCAGGGTTGCCACAGGACGAAAGGCCAAACAGCGCTAGCGGACGGTAGTGCGGGATATGGAGAGCAATACAGGGAGAGAAGAGTGGACCTTGATTGCCAGGGTGGGAAAGAAAAAAAGAAAAGAGAAGAGAAGACAAAAAGCAAGGGATGAAATATTGCATGCGGCTTGACGATCTTGGAGCTCTGTGCGCGCGCGCCGCTCTTTGAGCCATTCCCCGAGGTTGTGATGGGACAGCGGCTTGGCGAGGCGAGACTCTCCCTCGATCCAGCCTCGACCCTTGGGTAGATCATCCGACAGGAAGCAAAGGATGGTGTGCCTCCTTGTCTTGAAAGCCTAGCCGTCAAGGTCTGACAGCGCAGGTCGACGCAACTCGAGGCAGCCCTCTGACCCGACGCGTCAAATGCGCCAAACCAACCTCGCAGCTGCAGGTCTTGGAACACCTTGGTCGATGCCCACGAGGCGTTCGCCCTTGCTTTCCACGCGAGCCAAGACCCCAATAGTGCCATTGATCGGCGAGACTTTGCACGGCCTGGCAGATGATGACGGAGGGCGAGATGGACGGCTGATGGTGGTGGGTTTGGCGCATTCACTGCTTGCTTGTTTTCGGTGTCGCTTCCACTGAGTTCTTCCTGTCCGAGTCGAAAGTCGACGCGAACCGAGCACAGAGCACAGGGAGTGGTACAGTGTTCATACAGTACTACGGTGTGCACAAATGTTGCTCCAGGCACCCAGTTGATTCGTCACAATTCCCACTGTGTTTACACCCCACACAGGCTGCCAGGAAATTTTCTTCTGTGCAAGTTGAGGCTGGCGGCAACACGCCAGCACGCGCGCCCACGTGAGGCCCTTGACCAACACTCCTTCCAGACCACAGCAGATCAACAAAACGTCTTGTCCACGAGGCGTTCCGAGACCTGCCCGTTGGTGGCAGGGGTTCACGCAGGACAGCGTTGAAAAACAGCCTGGGACATACATACTCATACGTACATACATATACAGTCGGCTGAAACGGCCGAAACGACGGACATCGATAAACGGTGTCTGGGGCTGGCTGAGAAAGCAAGGGATAGATAGGATTTACGTGCGGTGCGTCGGCGCAACCGGGCAGGCGACATGCTGTCCGAGGAGTTCGTCTCGGCCATCTGCGGCCCCCCTCTGACCAGCAACACCAGCATCGCCAAGGACGTCGGCGTCTACGTCCACACCCTCAGCCCGGCCTACTCGGTCAAGGGCACCTTCAAGAAGAACTCGGCCCCGCCCAACTGCCTGGCCGTCAACGAGAGTCACGTGTTCGCCGCCCAGGACGGCAAGGCCGCCCTGCACGTCTACTCGCGCCCGAGGGGCAACCAGGAGGCCTACGTACCCTTCCCCGAGAAGATCCGCTGCGTGGCCCTGGCCGGTGATGTCTTGGTCCTGGGCACCACGGAGGGGCGGATCATGTTATGGGAGGTATGTTTGCGCTTTACGGTTCCAACTTGTTTTAGTAACCTCCAACTAACACATACACACCAAACAAAAAAACAGTACTGCACGGGCAGGCTAGTCTCCACGCCCCCCTGCCACGTGCAGGCCGTGACCTGCCTGGCCACGACCGCGCACCACGTGCTGAGCGGCTCCGACGACTCCAACGTGCACGTGTGGTCGCTCGCCTCGCTCCTGGCCCTGGACCCGGCGTCGGAGCACGAGCCCGAGCGCACCCTGTCCAACCACCGTGCGGCCGTGGTGGCCCTGGCGACCGACCAGCCAGCCACGTCGTCGTCCCCGCCCACCTCGGGCGGTGCCGCCGGCGCCCTTTGCGTCTCGGCCGCGCGCGACAAGACGTGCGTCGTCTGGGACGTCGCGACCGGCCAGGCCCTGCGCACGCTCCTGCTGCCCGCGGCGCCGCTCTGCGCGGCGCTCGACCCGTGCGCGCGCGCCCTCGCCGTCGCCACCGACGACGGCTGCCTGCACCTGGTCGAGCTCCTCGGCGACCCGCCCTTGCTCGGCGCCCACGCGCCCGAGGCCGCCTCCACCGCCGTCCAGGTGCCCGCGTCCGACCCCTTCGGCCTGGCCCCGCTCGACGCCTACGGGCCCGCCGCCTGCCTGGCCGTCAGCCACGACGGCACCGTGCTGCTGTCGGGCCACGCAAAGGGCAAGGTCCTGCAGTGGAGCCTCGCGACGGCGGCCGAGGGTGGTAGCGGCCCGCCGCCCGTGGAGCTGGCGGACCTGAACGCCGCCGTCAGCAATGTCGCCTTTGTGCCGCCGCTGCCGCGCACCAGGTCGACGGTTGCCCCGGCCGTCGTGAAGCCCGCCGCCGCCAACGCCGCCGCCGCCGCGGGGTACAGCTTCACGGCGCAGCTGGAGGGCGACCTGGGCGGCGGCGGCGGCGGCGACCGCCAGGCCAGCAGGTTCGATAGGCTGCTCGCCACGCCGGGGTTCGGACAGGAAGCGCTCGAGCAGGCCGTGCTCGCGCTCGAGCAGCAGCAGCAGCAGCAGTCCACGAGCGGTGGCGGTGGCGGTGGGGGGCCGAGCGAGAACGAGGTGAATCTGCAGCTCCAGAACGAGGAGCTGCTGCAGATCATCAACGAGCAGCGTGCGCTCTACAAGCAGGTGCTGCAGAAGCAGGCTGCCTCGGAGTCATAACATTGCTTCCCGTCCGTCTTTGTTGCTTGTTGATTTCGATAGTCGAGTCCATAGACGAATATACCCTACCAGGTCTCGCGGCAGACACTATTCCCTTACGAGTCGTGGCGGTAGGCGAGCTAGAGAGGGGTGTGTGTGTATGTGGGTATGTGTGTGTGTGTGTGGTTCGGAAAAAGTTAGACACCAACCAGCATCCTGCATCATCTGGCTTGTCTGATCCCGTCGCCAGAATCAAGCAGACTATCGCCACACAGGCCTCTCTTCCATCCCGGTTGGCCCGGGCCGATTCGCAAATGGTTTGCGCGCCACCTCGAGCTAGTGCCAGGTCTGTTCTCGGAACATTTTCCGAGCCACGTGCGACTATTTAAAGCCAAAATGCAAGCAACGTTTGCCTGGTCAAAGCACCAGGCACGGCTCGACCGAGCGCAAGTTAGGGCGATAGAAGAGACGGTCGGAGAATACAATAATAACAGACACGCCAACGGAGTTGTTTCACTGTCGCTTCAAACATGCCAACGACGTCCGGTTCGGTGCCCAGGCACGCGAGGTTGGCTACCACGGCTTGGAACGGCATTGATTGATGCCATTCGTCCCGTCTTCTGACATAGAAACACGCTGCGGACTGGCTGTCAAAGCCGTCACTTTTTGAAACTAGTTTCGTACACAAACCGCATGCGTTCGCATCTGCAGCGAGCAGAAGTGATCAACTACGATGCGTGCCCGGACAGGAGTCGTTCGGGTTTTCACCGCTCGTCTGCACTGCACAGTAGGCACAGACAGCACCATGGTCTCTCGGTTGTGAAGCCGGGCCGCGGTAAACCTCGCAGTCTCAGGTATCGAGGCATGTATTATTACTATTTGCCCTCGATCGTGTAAAGCAAGAATAGATAGAGATAGACAAGAAACCATATTGGAGCGATTCGCACCTTCGCTGTGCCATTCTCTGTACGGATATTGTTAGCGATTGTGGTTCCAAGAGCATGCGAGCGCCATCCTCGGCTTCCTCGCCGCCGCCCTTGCGGCAGCGTCACTAGCAGCGAGTGCCCCAGCAGGGAACGAGCGAAGCCATGACATCACATCCGCAGCCGGCCCGGCCCCGCCGACAAGCCACGTCCTCCATGAGGTGGCGCCGCCGGCTCGGGGCACCTGGAGGCGGCACTCGCGGCTGGACGGGCGCGCGACGCTCTCGATGCGGGTCGGGCTGACGCAGCGCAACCTCGAGCGGGCGGCCGAGTTCATGGCGGCCGTGTCGCACCCGTCGTCGCCCGAGTACGGGCGGCACTGGAACGCGGAGCTGGTGGTCGAGACGTTCGCGCCGGAGCGGCACCGGGTCGAGGCGGTGCTGCGGTGGCTCGAGGAGGATGGCGGGATCGCCAGGGGCAGGGTCCGACTCAGCAGCGGCCGCAACTGGCTCGCGTTCGAGGCGACGGCGGGAGAGGCCGAAGCTTTGCTGCGGACCGAATACCACGTTTACAGCCACGCGGGCCACGGGGCGAGACACGTCGCCTGCGAGGGATATCACCTGCCAGAGCACATGGTTGAACACGTCGACATCGTAACGCCGACGGTGCATTTTGACGGGAGGGTGAGGGAGGGGAGGATGGGGAAGCGGGTGGCGCTGTCTGGAGAGGGGCACGCAAAGCTACTTCTATCCCGGCAAGACACGGAGGCAGGGACAGCAGCAACGGCAACGGCATGGCCGGTTCTGGCTGACACGCAAGGGAAGAAGGAGGGCCGTCCTGGGCTTTTGGGGAAACCAAACTCGGGATTTCATCCCAAGCGGGATGACATGGTTGACGGCTCAAACCTGGTGCTGGAGCTGAGCAGCTGCGATGCCATGATCACACCGCAGTGCCTACGCGCCCTCTGCTCGCTCCCACCCGGCGAGACGGCAGTCGGCGGCAACACGCTGGGCGTAATCGAGTACTCGCCGCAGGCGTTCCTGCAGGAGGACATGGACATGTGGTTCGCCAAGTTCGAGCCGTAGCTCAAAGGCAAGCAACCGATCGTGACGCTGGTGGCAGACGGCGGGGTGCAGCGCAAGGACCGCGGCTTCGACTTTGACGGCGAGACGTCGCTGGACCTACAGTACGCCATGGCGCTGGTGCATCCGCAGCGCACCACGCTCTTCCAGGTGGGCGACCCGGTGCAGTCGGCGAGCTTCAACAACTTCCTGGACGCGTCGACAGCGAGTGCTGCGGCTTCGACGGCGGCGGCTCCAAGGACCCCAACGTCGACGGGCAGTACCCCCCTCGAGTGGGATGCGGCACGCCGGCCATCACCAACGTGCTGTCAACCAGCTACGGCTACAACGAGGCGGACCTGGGCGACAAGTACGAGCAGCGGCAGTGCCTCGAGTACATGAAGCTCGGGCTTCGGGGCGTGTCGGTTGTTTTCTCGTCCGGAGATTCGGGGGTGGCGGGCAACGGCAACATGTGCGTGGATCCGATAACGGGTGCATATGTCGAGGGCACCGCCAACAGCACCTCGGGCATCTTCAACCCGTCTTTCCCCAGCACCTGCCCCTGGGTGACATCGGTCGGGGCGGCGCAGGTGCTGAACGGGTCGACGGTACACACGCCCGAGAGCGCGTGCGAAAGTTTATGGTCCCACCCCGGTCCCGGCTCTTGCTAACTGATGGGCGTTTGATCAGCGTCGGCACCTGCCTTCGCATCGATGCTGACACTCATCAACGAAAAGCGCATGGCGGCGGGCAAGTCGGCGGTCGGGTTCGTCAACGCGGTGCTGTACGAGCACCCAGAAGCACTCAACGATATCACCAGCGGCAAGAACCCAGGCCGCGGCACTGAGGGCTTCGAGGCCGTCCAAGGATGGGACCCTGTGACAGGGCTGGGGACGCCCAACTACCACAAAATGCTGGAATTGTTTATGGGATTGCCGTAGAAGGCTGGCGCTGGTTTGTGCTGGCCTTTGTTTTTCGATTTGGGTCGCTCTGGGCTTTTGTAACAAGGTGAGATATTGGTTTTTGCATCTTGTATTTCCGCGAAGCGGCGAACAAATAAAGGTGAAACATTTTGAAGACTGGAGTCATGAGTCGGCTGGGCTGGGACTGGGCGCCGTGCGCTTGTTAGCAATTGACTGCCAAGCGGCGTCGGGTGGCTTCAGAGTTGGTTGATGATCACGATGTCTGCCCCTTCCTCTTTTTGTCCTACTTGGAAATCTGCACCGTGCGGCTGCTCCTGCCTCCATCGCTAAGCACAGTGCCACGGAACCCCACCCAGGCCTAGACCCTGCTGACAAACTGATACCGGCGGCTGCCTGGGGTGTTGGGTCTGCAGCAGGGCGCGAGGGCACCATGCAGGGATCAGCACCGTGCAGCCGACGCAGCTGATGGCATCCGCGGGCGTCTTGGAATGCTGGCACCCTTCGTTCCTGAGACGCCGACGTGGGTCGGAGGCTTCATGCTCGGTTCGCCCCGGGGTTTCTTAAACTGCCAAATCCCCACGGCCACAAGGCTGCTAGCTGCCCACGCCCGCAAGAGACTGTCCGAACCCAGTCGGAGATTTGACCACCAATCTAGCCTCAGCTTCTGCCCCGATCACGCCTGCTGATGCTGTTGGAGTGTTGGCCCATCCACAATCTTGCCCAGCCATCCCTTGCCAAAGCTCATGTGGAGCTGACAACTGGAAGCGAGAAAGACACAATTGTTCACACCTGTTCACACCTGGGCTGCCCACCATGGATCACTTTACTAGCCCAGGCGCCACGGCTACGGCCACGACCACAGCCACTGCCAATGCCCCCAGCTGTGCTGGTGATGGCAGCGCTAGCGCCACCTCCCAGGGCCCGCAGGCCAAGATGACCTACGCCTGCGAGAGCTGTCGCGCGGCCAAGGTCAAGTGCACCTCGAGTAGACAGCCAGGCATTTGCCGCAGGTGGGTGCTTGGGATAGTCCACCAGCCCGGTCTCGACTCTCCTCGAGGCCCCGGGTTATCAGTAGACCTCCAGCCTGCTGACTTCTTTGTGTCATCTATCGCCAAATATATAGATGCTTAGAATCAAAGCGCGAATGCGTCTTCAAGACCGGTCCTCGTACCAGGCGGCCAAGGCTATCCAAGCAGTGCGTCGGCCCTTGAATGTTGCGCCCCAAGTGTATCTCTGTAAAGGGGTGGTTATAGAGACGCATGCCCCCTTTTACTAACACAGCCTGTTTGGCTCCGCTGCAAAACAGAACATCGGCAGCAGAGAGACCGCCACCGCCGCCAGGCCCCTCCAAAACCTTTACGATTGACGTCCCTTTGCCCAAGGAGGAGCACCTGGAGGACCCGCTGGCCGTGCTGCGGGACTCCCACGAGGCCTACATCGACAAGCTCATGCCGTCGCCACCCTACGATGGCGACTTCTTCGACGACGCAGGCAGCGACATGGCCCACGGCGGCGCCTGGAGCAGCAGCACCCGCACCGCCGCCTCGGCCACCACGCCGTCCTCCACGGGCCACAGTGCCGCCACCACAAACGCCACCACGACCACAGGCGGCTTCTCGTCGGTGCAACCCAGCGCCGAGCCGCTCTCGCCGATGACGCTAGGCCTCCGGCGTCCTCAGTTCAACCTCGACAGCGCCACGGCGCTGCTGGCCGCCTTCCGCCGTAGCATGGACCCGTACTTCCCCGTCGCCGCCGTCAGCGAGCACGACACGGTGTCCAGCCTGGCCCGCGACCGCCCCTTTGTGCTGCTCGCCGTACTGGCTGCCGCCAGCGGCGCCCGCGTAGCCCTGCGCGGCGGCAGGGGTAGCCTGTACGATGAGGAGTTCCGCAAGGTCCTTGGTCTCAAGTTTGTCGCTGGGGGGGAGCGGACCGTTGAGCTGCTGGTCGGCTTGCTGGTTTATTGTGCCTGGTGAGATACTCTCCGTTCACCTCGCTGTCTCTGGAACATGGATGATTTGTGGAGGAAGAAAAGAGTTGCGACGTTAATCGTTGGGGACGAATAGGTATCCAGTTCATCTGCGGCCGAAAAGCAAACAGGCTTCTCAGTACATGCGCATGGCCGTCGACCTCGTTCAGGACCTGGAACTAGACCAGCCCGAGGGCATCGAACAGGCAGGATTCGCTGGCGAGGAACGCCTGCAGGCCATTAGAGCGTATCTGTGCTGCTACTATCTCGTCGTGGCGTAAGCTTCTCCCCCGTTCTTTTCAGCCCTTCAATACTATCCAGAAGACTGACTATTCATACGCAAACGCCCAGCCGAGCCATGGCGTACATAGCACGACCCGCGTCACTTCAGTTCACAGCCTGGACAGCCGCGTGTTGCGATATCCTCGAGCGGGAGGGAACCCAAGCGAGTGACCGCGTGCTCCCGTGGCTTGTACGCAACCAGCACCTCGTCGAAGAGACGGCCAGCTTGACTGCGGCTCAGGAGAAAGGCCAGCGCTCCCAGTACCAGGTCGACACGATGCTAAGGGGCCTTGAGGCCCAGTTCCGCGAGTGGAAGAGCCGGATTCCCGAAGATGTTGCCAAGACACGTATGTTTCCGCTCCCGCCATACATTCTGGTCCTTTTATCGCATCGGGCAACGCGGGGCGACTAACATGTCTTGACACCACCAGCCGTTATGCTTGTCTCGTCCCTCTCGACCGAGATATATCTTTACAGCTCACATCTTTGGAAGCCCTCATTGATGAAGGCGCAACGCCCAGGCCACGCCTTAGACCCCAACCAGGACCCCGTCAGACTGGCACTGGCCCTGCCGACCCTCCGCACGTTCCTCGAATTCCTGGCCAGCATCACGCGAGAAGATACCCCACAGCCGTCGCCCAACTGGACGCAGGCCGCATCGGAGTCGACGGCAATGCCGCTGCAAACACCATCGACGGCAGCACTGTTCCAAGACGGCGGCGACCCCCCGGCGGCGCCCGACGAGGAGTTTGCAAACTTCAGCACGGTTGAGTGGGCCCGCGTCGTCTTCGCCGTCGTGGTCTGCTTCCGGCTCTCGTTCGACATGCCGACGTGCCCGCTTTGGGACGGGGCGCGCGGGCGGCGCGAGCTTGAGCTGGGGCGGTTCTTGGCCATAATCTCGGGCGACTGTGACGACTTCTACGACGAGATCATCAGCGGAGGCAGCGCTAGCAACGCCGCCGCCGTGGCCGCCAGAATCAACCCGCATATGAACGTGGTGTGCGCCACCAAGCTCGTCTTCAGCGTCGTCAAGCGCAAGTTCGAGCGGCGCGTCGCCCAGCTCCCGCCCGCCGAGGTGCCGGCCGCCGCCGCGGCGTCGACGCCTGTGTCACCACCCGTATCATCCCCCACCGTCATGTCCATGTTTCTAGGCGGCTTCGGAGCCGGCAGCGCCGGTGGTGGGTTCTTTGGTGGTGGGAACGGTGTCGCTAGCGGCAACCCCCACGCGGCCATGACGTCGGACATGCGGGTAGGGCTGGACAAGTCGATGCGCGGCTGCCCCATGCTCGACGGCTCGTTTGACAATTTCATCCCGCTCTGGGGCGACGGCTCCGCGGCGCCGGCGGTGCCTCCCGACCATCCCCCCATTCCCATGGGCATGATGGGCGGCAGTGTCGGTGGGGGTGTGGGGGGCCTAGGAAATGCCAATCCAATGGCCGATCTCGACAGCAGCTCGCAGGCGGCCATATTCCAGGACCTGTGGACGACCATGAATAACGAGTGGAGCTATGGCGGGCCGGACAACATGACCTTTTGATGCCTTGACGTTGTTCGCGGATACAACTGTCTCTGACAATCATCTGGATACTAGTACTACTAGATATGCATGCTCCATATACCCACTTTATGTACCACCCCATGTCTTTTGAAACCCGAGCCGCGCACCCACCGTAGTTTGCAGTGTCTGTCAAACAGCGGGTTCTGACCCATGAGGTACACAACTTGAGGCGTAAAATATAAGCTGGAGCAGCGAGCTTCCGCCCACCCTCAATCAGCACAGGCTAGGTGGCCGAGTGGTTAAGGCGTATGTTTCAAGAGAGATCCCTCTCTTCCCCACAAGGGATACACATATCTCGCAAGAGTCATCAGTTCGAACCTGGTCCTAGTCAAGCCGATTTTTCTTTTGCTTTTGCGCGCCCCAGTCATTGTGCATATTCTACGGCGGTAAAAATAAATGCTCTCGCCGTGTTTCCCACAGCTCCCCGCCCGCTAGACCAGATCAACCAGGACCCAGGACCCAGGACCCTGAAGGCGGAGCCGATGGCAGATGTGCCGTGGCCAGGGCCAGGGTTCAAGAGGCCAGCCAAGTACCCCCACAAAATGATTGGCGGCGCTCCGATAGCGGGTGGGGCGTTTGGGGGCTGGCGGGGCGCTTGGGGCTGCGATGACGGAACGAGGATATCTTTGCTGACTTTTGCGCCCCTTTTTTGATTGCGCTGGAAATCGCGAGAGTCGAGTCACCTTGTTCCTGGATTTACAGTTATTGAAAGCATTACTTACTTCAACAGACTAATCGCAGCCTCTCGAACATCATGACGACCGAGTTCCCAGTCAAGAAGTGCGGTGCGTCTTCTACCGACCTCCTCGTCCTGCGCGTTACTTGGGCATTGGATTGGCCTACCCCCTACTCGATGCACCACCCTGGATCCCCTGACACATGCAGCTAGAGACAAGTCGACAACGCTACGATGCAAGACCGCTAACCTCTTCCCCCCTCCTCAGGCGTGCTCGGCGCGACCGGCTCGGTGGGCCAGCGCTTCATCCTGCTGCTCCAGCAGCACCCATCCTTCGTGCTGACGGCCGTGGGCGCGTCGTCGCGGTCGGTGGGCAGGCGGTACCGCGACGCGGCGCGCTGGAAGCAGTCGGCGCCCATGTCGGCGACGGTCGGCGACCTCGTCGTGCGCGAGTGCCGGCCCGACCTCTTCGCCGACTGCGACATCGTCTTCTCTGGGCTCGACTCGGACGTGGCCGGCGAGGTCGAGATGGACTTTTTGCGCGCCGACCTGGCCGTCTTCTCAAACGCCAAGAACCACCGGCGCGACCCGGTCGTGCCGCTCGTGGTGCCGACGGTCAACCTGCCGCACCTGTCGCTGATCCCGCACCAGCGCCGGCTGCACAACCTGACCAGGGGTTTCCTGGTGTGCAACAGCAACTGCGCCGTCATCGGGCTCGTCATCCCCTTCGCGGCGCTGCAGGCGCGCTTCGGCCCCGTCGACTGCGCCTCGGTCGTGACCATGCAGGCCGTCTCGGGCGCGGGCTACCCGGGCGTGGCGTCCATGGACGTCATCGACAACGTGGTGCCCTTCATCAAGGGGGAGGAGGACAAGCTCGAGACGGAGGCGCGCAAGATCCTGGGCGGCGTGGCCGCCGACGGGACCGCCTTCGTCGAGCAGTCGGCCCTGAGGGTCAGCGCCGCCTGCAACCGCGTGCCCGTGCTCGATGGCCACACGGCCTGCGTCTCGCTCCGCTTCGCAAACAGGCCCGCGCCCGCCGCGGCAGAGGTCAAGGCCGCGCTCGCGTCGTACGTGTCCGAGGCCGAGTCGCTCGGCTGCCCGTCGGCGCCCTCGCCCTCCATCCTGGTGCACGACGAGGACGACAGGCCCCAGCCCCGCCTGGACCGCGACCTGTCCGGGGGTTACACGGTCAGCGTCGGCCGCGTGCGCGAGGACGAGAGCGGCATATTCGACATCAAGTTTGTGGCGCTGAGCCACAATAGTGAGTCTTTTTTTTTTTCTGAGTCTTTTTCTCTCTACTTCCATCCAACCACCCCCCTGTTCCCTACTTCGAATCCCACGTCGGCCTGTCACAATCGAGAGACTTGTCCTCTACTTTTGCCCTGGGTCCCACGACACCTTGCATCCCTGGTCCACTCCTCGCGTGCCACAGCAGAACACATCCAGTCGACCAAGTGCTGACCATGTCTCGCCTTTCTCTCCCCGCTCTTTCCTCCTTCCCCGTCACTAGCCGTCATTGGAGCAGCAGGATCCTCGATCCTGAATGCCGAAGCGGCTGTCCTCAAGGGCTACCTGTGATCCAGCTGGCTGGGAGAGGGTGTGTGGACCGCATCAACTTTTAGAGTTCGAAAGAGGGGTAAAAAATAGGGGGAGGGGTATGTAGGGAGGATCTAACGGGCTCGATCAAAATGGTATGATTTTCTCTAGCTGTTTTCTCTGGAACGTATTCGGGTGGTGTCACAATGGGTTTGGTGGCGGTTGCATACTTGTTTATAGAGGGTGTCAAACAAGACCAAAAAGAAGGCGTATTATGGACACCCAATACTCTCTCTGTGCCTGTGTGGTGTGTGTCTTGCCGGGCCCGGGGTGACTCGAGACCATGTGTGATATCGACCGCCCCAACACCCGAGAAGCGGTTACACTGCCTCGCTACCGTGATCACATCCATTTCCCTCTGTGGGCTTACCGTATCCCGGGCTGTGTGGTCTTTCAGCCCTGTTTCTTTTTCTTTTGGGAGGGGGCAAGGATTGGGATGGCAAGGGGGAGGGTTCGGCCATGGAGCCCCTCGAGTCAGGCACCTACATGGCGTGGCAGAACATTGGGAGACATGCTCTACCGCGGAGTAACCCCCCCTCCCAGCTTACGGGGCCCATGACCTCCCCGAAAAGCCTGGGGCACGGTACCACAGGTACACGCATCCCTATATATCTCGGGGAGGACAGGATGGAAGGGCGCATGGGGGGGTCGGACAGACGCCCTGGGTTGGGCTGGCATCCCCTCGAGCCCACTTTTCTCTTCTCTCTTTCCCAATATCACATATCACATCCGTACATTATCCAGACGGATGAAACCGTGTGGAGACCGCAGCTTTTCGGGGGAACTAAAGCCCAGCCTGTGGGCTCGACGGGCAGAAGGAGAGAGGCAAGGCCCAAGATTACTGGCTCGATCCCTGGTAACCATAGCCCGGTGAACCCGGCTTCCCAAGCCTGCAGTTCGCACCGACAAGGTGAGCATGTCGACTGGGAGGGGGGTGTGCTCGTTTCCTGTCCCACCCATGCGTTTGTGTGCCGCTCTCCCCCACAATTTTGGTGGTCGATGACGATGGCGGTGGGGGGAGGGAGTGGTCTTGTCGTACGGGGAAAGAAGTCCTCTTGTACATTACATCCAAAAGAGGGAAATATTGGGAGTGCCGCGACGAGACAAACGACCAACACAAGATGATCCCGTTTACAGCATGACGGCGATATCACCTTCCCCTCCCTTGCTACTTTCCAGGTACATTCGTCCGCAGGGGGGGAATAGACGTTAAGCTTGGCGGTTCGTTTCGTTTCGTTTCAAAAGCAGACAGCACCCACGATCCCAGCAAGCCGAGGACGCGAGCCGGACACCTCCCAGCTGGTCGGGGCTGGCGTCACACGGCAGAGCACACGAGCAAGGAGAGGAAACCATGGAATGGAAAACTCAATATCTTGACGACACCGGAGGAAACTCTGAGATGAGGGGGTCGGGCTGCGACATTTACAGCCTGGCCGAGGGTGAGGGAAGAAGAGGGGAGGGGGGGGACGTGACGGGATACCAGAAGCGGCTCGCACCATGCACAGCACCCCGCCGCCGGCCTCGAGGACAGCACAGGTGTGCTGCGCCGTGCACGACGCCCTTTACTGCCCGCCGTGGAGCGTTATACCCATAGGGACACAGAAATGCTGTGCCTTGCTCGGTATAGGCGGCGTTGCGATGTGGTGTGGTCGGGGAAGGGTGGAGGGTGGGTGGTGAGGAGGGCACACAAACACACACATAACACACACATAACACACACATCACGACCTGTCTGTTTCTCAGCCTTCCTCCCTTGCGTCAACCCCGACGTCCAGCATCCCACCCTCCCTGCAAAGTGAGATCCTATGATGGTGCTAGTGGTTTCAAGCTAACTTGTGTGAATACAAAGATTCCCAGATGGAAATAGAGCAGCTCCGAAATCGGCTATTCCCATCCCCTCGCCATCACATCACTCGGCATTTGACATTCCAAGACAAAATAGAATCTCCTTTTTGCAACCAGGCCACCTGTTCAAACCAAAAAGCGATTGCCACTCCACGCAGAAATGTTTCCCGCGTGCCTCTTCATGGTCCCAAGAGTCAGCATAAGCAGAGTGTGATGGAGACAAGAATAGGGAACATGTTTCGAGGAGAGCCGGGCTATGATGGGGAGAAATTGCCTAGGCCTGTAAGATTTCCCATGTCGCGGCAAGCGATTGCGTTTCCGACGCATCAACAATCCAGCCCGTGATGAGATTGACGTGATTTGCCCAAAGCTGGTAGAAACCAGGCGACAAATACCAGACTCGATTCCAATCCATGTTCCCCTCTGCGGAAGAGCGGCACGAGTCATCAACCCATCCATTATCCATCCACCCACGGCTACCAGCACGTCTCGCCAAGTATCATATGGATACAAACATGATGTCTCCAGTCTGACCAGAGTGCCGAAAGCGATTACTGTAGATGGAAATGGTGAGTCAAACACACCCACCTGTTGGAGCATCCCAACGGAAGCCAATAATAGCAACAGAGGCGGACATGAGACGTGTCGCCGTCGGACAAGAGTTCAGACGAAGTCGCCTCAACATCATGGAGAGCCGACATAAGTATCTGCACGTGAGCATTAGCCATGGGAGGCGCTCCGGCTGACACGGCTGGGGATGATTAGGGCCACGATCGGCTTACACGGTCGAGCGCGGTACGTAGAGACGATTGAGGCTCGGAGAGGTGCGTCGAGCCTATCGGCCATTAAAATTAAAGGCTAGGGCACCACCCCCTCGCCGTCTTGTGACCTCGACCCAGCACCCAGTGGGCGCTGCCGTGGCGGACGGGCGGCTATGCAGTCAGGCAAGGAGCCGCCTTGGTAGCCACGTGAGGCCGCAGAGGCTGTCTCTCCCCCCACGCACGACATCTCACAAGCGAAGGTGGGGATGTGGAGGGGCTAGTTTTTTTTTTTTTTTTTCGCTGGATCCGGGCCTGCTGCGGCTGGCCGTGCAGAAGATGGATGACCCAAGAAAGAAAGAAAAAAACGATTGGCAAGAAAGATGAAGGGCTGTGCGCGCTGCTTGCTGCAGCCAGCCGTGCCGTCGGCGCGTTCTCACTGGTACTTTGCGGGTCACCAGACTAGAAAAATGCAAGCAAAAGAAAAAAAATCAAGGAAACAAGAGCCCAGGTGGGAGAGAGCACACAGATCACATATTGAAATCCCCCAAAAGGGAAGCAAGCAGATCAGTGAGTGGTCGGAACCTTCCCTACCAATCATGGATCGACCGCCCACTCGGACCTTTTGCCGTTGTGCTCGATCTGGCAAGTCTAGCCAGCAAGGGGCGAGCTGGGCGAGCACAAATAAGACGACGAGAGATTTTGCTGGTTGGGTCTGGTAGGGCGGCAGAGCGCTTTGGGGTGCACATGATGGGCCCAGGAAGCAAGTGAGCCACACGGAGGGCCAAGCGAACAAAAGAAGAAGAGAGAGAAAAAAAGAAAACGAAAAACATGGCCTGTGACGACGTTATCCGGGCCTTTTTTTGGTTGTGCGTCTCTGGCGTAATGCGGCATCCGCCGTCCAGGCAAATGCAAGCGAGATAAGGACGGCGACGGTGCCAGCTGAAACAAGCATCAGAGAGCGAAAAGGCTCTTTCTCGGTTCGAGAACGTCCCCGTTTTGCGTCTGATGTCTGGCCCGGGCTGTGGACTAGGTAGGTGTCTATTTCCGTGCAGACGCCCGGGCACCCCCTCCAAACGCGACCTGCATCTCTGATGCGCAGCGGCCAAGCGGCTGAGGCTGAAATCTGGACGGTTCGGAGCATTTGGCGTTTTATGTGCCGTGTTGTCTCGCAACTGTTTTTTGGATTCCGTCTTTTACCCGCTGAAAGCCGAAAATGTCGCCACCAGCGGAGGAGGAATGACCACCCGATGCAGGAACGGTGAGCCGTTCATGGCGGAATACGAACTTGTTTTACGCTTTAGCTCGGCTTCCTGGTTGACGGGTCGAATTGCCAAGAGCACAAGCTCGCCGCACGCGCGCCGAACGCCGAACGTGAATTACCACTATTGAGGCTGGCGCGAAGAGAGGTGGGTGGTAGCAGTCAAACATCTCGCTTGAGAGGTCTCTCTTTTTTTTTGCTTTGGCCCAACGCCGAACCTCGAGACCAATTTGGCGCCCCCAGGTAGCCTCACCCCCAGCCCGCCAATCGGAAGGAAAGCAGGCCATGGGCCCTCGGGATCGTGCAGGACATCGTTGGTCTTGGAAGCGTGTAATTGATAGCGCGCCCCTCATTTTTCTTCTTTCTCATTTCGCCTTATCGCCCGCCCGCGACAGGCCCACCCTCACTCCACCTGGGCTACCACTACCACTACCACTCGTCCCCTGACGAGAGTAATGACAAGAACACAGACGAAGGCGTCCAAAGAGAGAGAAACAGAGTAAAAGCAAAAAGCCCGGGGAGGGAAACGACAGCTTTGATTGGATGGCCGCCGTGCCCGCCAGGGCTTGGGAGCCGGGCTAGCCAGGGCGGGTCATATGTGCCGGTCAGCACTTGCGCACCCAATCCCTAGCGGCGACGGGTTTTTGGCTGGTCGTTGGATCATGAACAGCGATCGGGGCCCGTCCCCCAGCAGCAACATGAGAAAAGCAAAAGATGGTGCCGTGTGGTTGAGCAAAATGAGCCGAATCAGGCCGCAGTCGGCCACACGCGCGGGCAAAACGCCACCCACCACCATCATCGCTCCTTTCATTCTCCTCCGTCCCCCTCCATCTTTGGCGCAGGTACGGGATGGCCTAGCTCCAAGACCTCCTCACCGTTCCTCACCTCACCCCCCACACGCCATTTTTTGCGCTAGTCCCACACCGTCAAGGTGACGGACACAAAGAGAAAAAAAAGGTGACGACAGGACCGAGTGGGGGAGGGGGAGAGATGATGTGTTAGCGTTGGCGCGAGGGAGGGACAGTGAGAGACGCGGCGTGATGTGATGGGCTCGGTCATGGGCCAAAGGTGTGAGCATCTTCCAGACCGCTCCTTGACAAATCGGCCGTCTTCTCCCTAGGATGCCAGCAAGCCCGGGATCTTGGTTCTTGGGCGCTCAGTGCCGAAAAAGTTGAACATGAGCAGCGCCAGGGGCCAAAAAAAAGCGCCCCAACGCCGGGCCCAGCCACTCCTCTTGTCTCCCCGGCTCGTCGCCATGTGACGTGCATGCGGCGTTGGGTATCTTAGTATTTGACTGTGACTCTGGACCCGCTTTTTTCTTTCTTCCCTTTTATTTCCCGTCTGTTTGCGGTTGGAAAGAGAGATGCTGCAGAGCAGGCTTGCAAAGCTCTGCCGCGCGCACATGAAGATGGAAACCGAGCCAAGTGCCAGCCTGCCACTTTGTGCAGCCGCATTGGGAGGGGCGGCTTTGCGGCTCGAAGCTTGCGAGACCACCAACGCGTGGGGGTGACTAAACGAGAGAGATAGAAGGAAAAAGCTTGAAGCCATTGGAGTACCACCTCTGTTAGTTACAAGCTAGCAAAGCGAAGCTTGGAACCGAACGGCACAGTCCCATGCACGTGGACGCTCGACTGGGTGGATAGCACGCAATCCATGATGTGGCCCCCCGCGGATCCCAGCAATGAACCATCATTCGTGGGTTGGGATCCCTGCCATCTCGCTGAGCTGACCTTTCCTGAAAGAGGGGATCGAGCTCCCATGTTTTACCCTCTCAAGCCGGTTTAATTCAATAAATGGTCTGGAAAAGGGCTTCGGATGAGGAACTCTATTATCAAGCCACTGCGTGAAAAGAACTTCTGCGATCCCTACTCATTTGATGACGGCCTGTCGTCGTTTTTTTTTGTTTTTTTTTTCGATTGTTGATTTGCTATTCCTGCTGCTAGCTCGCTGCATCCGGCCGACTGACAACAGAGTGACGACTACGTGCTGTTTGCTCTGCTTGTCAGTTGGACCAATCAGCGACTTGATCACACATTTTTCGCACCCCGAATGAGATAGACATGCATGGAAGAAGAGCAACCAAAAAAAAAAAGAAAAAAAAAAGGAAACCCTCGGGTCCTTACCGCAACAAGGACAATTGACAGCACACGCCGCGCCCTACATGACCAATCCGGATTTGTATCTAGGTACCTAACAGCACCTGGCTTCTTGGAGGATCCCTAGGGGACTGCCCCTTGGCGGGCGGTAATTCGCGTGCGAGGCGGCACACATGCCTGGCAGGGGGTACGGGTGTCAATCTTGTCTCGTCTCCCTCTTTGGGTGGTTCTTGGACGAAGCGATGTGCCACTCGTCCATTGCTAGACTGCAGTAGTGCCCCATTTCTCTTTTTTATTTCCCTTTTTATTCCTGCTCTTTTTCTTCTTTACACGTCTACCAACCGGCTTCCCAAATCTTTTTTTTTTTTTTTGCTAGCCATTCCCGTCCCCTCCCTCCGCCCACCAAACTAGGGCCGCTCGCCCCTCCGGGGCAACGCATCCGGCGGGCGCGGCTTGTTCCCCGGGGTGGCCCCATCGTACCCTTATCAACCGCTCGCGCGAGGGAACCGAGTTGGCCTGTGACATCTGGTGGAGCTTTTCCTCCTCCCCCCCTCGTCTCTCCTCTCCCTCTGCCCGTCCTATTACCTACCGACCTACCCAGGTAATGCGAGACCACCCACCACCGAAACCGCTACCACGCGTAGTGTGGTGTGTAGTCTTTGTTCTTGTTCCCCTCTGCCCAATCTCCATTTAATCTACACCCATCATCTCCCCCCATCCATCCAGAGCGTGCCGCCGCCGCTGCCCAGCCTCGAAGGACAATCCGCCCTGCGATCCCCCGTTGGCCAGAGCTGCGTCTTGGGGAGGCCGCCTCGCCGAGGTGTGAACGGAGCCGCCGTGAGGGTTGCAGCGGGACGAGGGGATGGGCAATTTCGGAGGGGGACCTGGTGGTGGTGGTGTGCGCACGTTGCGTCCGTGGCAGGCGGCCGGCTCGTGGTAAGGAGGCGCTTTATGGCGCCTAGCCGAGCAGTTTGTTGCTGTGAAGCAAGGAGCAGCAGTGCTGGTGGTGTGCAGAGAACGTAACTCGGCATGTAGTACATACAATACGTAGCAATGCCTGTCCACCCCACCTCATCCTCGCTGAGCACAATTCTTTCGGGTTGGTGATATCTAGTGCTGTTTTTTTCTTGTTCGTTTTTGCAATGCGCTGGGTAGGGCCAAGCAAAAGCAGAGACTAGCGGAGTCTTTGGTTGGATGGACGGCGGAAGAGGCCTCAGGTTCCCATTTCTCCACTTTCCTACCTCCTCCCACCCTCCCGTGCCTCCCCAGCTCCCCCAACCACCACAACACGCTCAATCCGGCCTCTGCACGAACGTTTCCCGTTTGTTGAAACGGCAATTGTCACCCGCCACGATCGCAGATGCTGTGCAGTGACATTCGCCGAAACTTGGTTGCACAGATGTGGTAATGATGGTGCGAGGGATACCACGGTTTCTCATGCCTGAGGCCGGCATGCATCTCTTCGGTTATTGCAAGAGCCACAATTCACCCACACGCCCTCATACTCACCACTCACACTCGCATATAATGGATGGATGACAACTACCCAATTTCCCCTTTCATGGCCCATTACCACCCACCCCTCCTCACCCTAGTGGTCAAGAGGCCATGTCAATGACGCATCCCGTCTCCTCGGACCGGACGCGCCGGAGGAGACAACCGGCTCGGGAGGGTAGCGGTAGTGGTCTGCTACGTAAACGCCGAGATGATGCAGAGGAGCCTGCATCGGACTAGGTAGGCGAGCGAGCCCGTACACGCGCCGGTGTGGCCGCTTGTGGGTGGGCGGTTTGAGGGGTATGCAGTTTTGGCAAGAAGATGGGCGGGTGAGATAGATACAGATAAATGAGGGAAATGTGACAGGTCACGACTCACCTACCTACGCACCTACGTACTGTGTAGGCCGTTGACATCGGCACCTTGGGGCCAAGAAGCTTATTCGAGGGACGGCCAGATCAAGGCTGCGTAGATTGCAGCCTGCCTTTGCCCGACTGCAGGATGACAACATGGAAGGAGCTAGATATACCATCATCGGCGGGACTGATTAGCCCATTGCAATACAGTGCCGATCCCTCTCCCCCAAGCCCCCGACGGCCAGGTGCTGTGCAGGTGTGCTCTCGAGATGGACGTTTCCGCCTGTCTGGTATTGGGCGGGGCCCTAGGAAGCTCAAAGAGACCAGATCCAGCCTTAACTTGACAGAAAGTGGATAAGAAGAAAAGAGTTGACCGGGGCCGGAATGGTCCGGGTCTGATCTGTTGGGTGGACAGAAAATGCCTCTTTTGTTGCGTTGTCTCCAGGTGTGTGTGCGTGTGCAGCCAGGTTGGGACCACGCAGGCGACGACAGGCAGGTCGAGTCGCTGGCAGGTGCGTGCTCAACGCACACGCAGACGCAGACACCGTCCGCTCCGACACAGCAACGCAGACGGGCTTGCAGGAAGCCTGCCTGTCTTTCCTGCCTGCCTACCTGCCTACCCCTCCCACCACAAAAAAAAAAATACTCTCGTCCCGCTCACCGGTCTTCCCATGCATAGACGACACCATCTTTGGCTCGACGAACCAGGAAGCCCGAAACCCTATTTAACCTGCGAGAGGTCTGCTGAACGGGAGCTTATCTCGAGCATGGGTGGATGGGCTACGCGCCGCTTGTTAGGGAGGGGGGAAGGAGACCAAGGAGACCAAGGGAAAGGGGAGGAGGAAGACGCTAGCCGAATGTGTTTTTCTTCGTTTCCCTTTTTCCGCCCGGGCTCGCCTTCATTCCGCATGCAGCCACCTTCATCACCACTCGTCACCACGCACCCACCACTTTGCCAGGAGGTATCAACGCGGGAGGGTTGGTCCGGCGTCAGTATTGATGGTGGCGAGTGTTCAGAACCAGCAAGCCGCGAGGTTGCAGGGTCGTATGGCATGGCATGGCATGGCATGGCAGGCATGGCACGCATGGCACGCATGGCACGCATGGCACGGAGTTGGACGCAACAGATTGAGATTTTGCCGTGAAAAGGGGTCTTTGATGCGTTCCCTTTTGGGAACAGGTCCGCCATTGGATGTGTTCAACGAGACGGACGTCTCCGTTAGCGGATGCTTGCTTTTGTGCACTGGAACTTACCGACGGGGTGATGGCGCAAGGTGGTGCTGGTGTGCGCATCAGTGGCTTTCTCGAGTGAACCGCGATGAGCGAAAGGAAGAAGCTTGATGCTAGCTAGGGTCCGCTGCTGGCATCGACAAAGACGTGCTCGAACACTCGCCATTGATGCGGCGCGGCATTTGGCAGGCGATGGCGGCTGCTGCGCCTGTCTGGGGCGCCGGCAAAAGAGATGAGTTGTGATCAGTTTTTGATTTCTTCCTGTGACTTTTGGGTGCAGTGATGCCTCCATTGGGTTGCATTTCGTCCCTGTTTGGGCCTCGTGCGTGCGGGTGGCCCCAACGTGCGAGGGGGCATGGGGCAGGGGACAGGAGGCAGCACTGCGTCTCACGCACCCAGCTGCTCAGGCTCGGCCGCAGGCAGACAGGCGGGGCTCTCTCTCTCCCTCTCTCTCACTGCATGGCAGGGCGAGCCTCTGGTTGGCTGAACGAGGAGACGTTTTTCTTCTTTGGCTGGCGGGGAAAGAGAAGCATGCAAGCACGCCCGCACCGAGCACAGGTGGGTGGGGCGCTCAACCGAACAAAGAGAGACGGGAGAGAATGAAAGAAAAAAAAAATCCCACAGCCCGCCCAAAATGTGAGTGGGGCACCTCATCCCCATCCTGCGCCCGCCGCCCACTGGCCTAGCTAGCCCCGTCGGGAGAGTGAGCACGGCCTCTCCCTCCACGCAGCCCTGCCGGACGGCCGACCCCTGGGGCCTGGGCTGGGCGGTGCGGTGCATGTATGCAAAAAGAGCAGCAGTAGAACTAGCTCCTTGCTGATCGTGTAGTTGTGTGCTGTCTGTGGGTTTATTTTGGGGGGTTTTTTTTTTTGCTGCGGGTGGGTTTTTGCGAAAGAGGGAAAGAGATGGAGGGAGCTAAAGAGGCAGCGCTTGCTCCATGCTTCTGCGCTTTGGTTTAGATGGGCCCCCCCCGCTCTTTCCATCCGCCCTCATCTGCCCATTCGATCTGTCCTCTCATGAAAAAGTCTAGACCTTTCGAGCTCGGCCAAACCACTAGTCCAAGTCCAGCTGTCGTGCCTCGTCGCCGTAAAGGAAACCTACCAAAGCATCACTTATGTGTGCGGGTAATCCACTCCATCACCCGCGGCGCGACGCACATCTCCACTTGCGGTGGCACCGTGCCTCCGCCCTTATTTTTAAAAGTTGAGTTCGGGGCAGGTGGTGCGAGGATGGCTTGGGTCGGGTCCAGAGTCATTGTGGCGGGTGGACCTCGAAAATGGATGGCACACCACCATCTCCTCCTCCTTTCTTTGTTGTCAGTCAAGCGCGCGAGGAGGAAATTTAAATTCTGCGATGGGGAATGCAGAGTGCCCGTCACCCGTCTGCCTTGGGAGGGAGTGCTTGGCCGTCTCTTCTCTGTCGCCAAATCAAAGCAGTAAGATGCGTTCCGGGCCTCCCATCTCACTCGATGCGCTCGCTGCAGGCCCGCGGCGCAGGCTTGGCGGCCAGGCCGCAGCACCACCCCCCGCTTGGCATGGTCTCGCGTCTGGTGTGTCGTGTGTTGCGGTGCTCGCGCGCGCGCACACACGCATGCGTGCCTGCTGTTTCCCAAGGGCTGCAAATAGGCTTCCGGCTGTTGTGCGAGGCCGATGCGACGGCTGGTACCTGGCGCAAAGTACAGGCCTGAACGACCGTGTGGTCTCGTAGACGTAGGCTCGAGACGGCGCTACCTGCGCATGCCGGTTCGCCATGTACCGAACGGCTCTAGTACCGTCTTTGGTGCCGACGGGGGAGCCCCCTGCCGGTTTAGGTACATGTTTGTAGTTGTTGGCGCTCGCGCGCGCTCGAGGTACCAAGGTCCTTGATCCTGACGCTCCCGCTCGCGCGCACCACACAACCATCTCTACCACCACCCACACAACACACCCACGCACCGCACCCGCACCCCACACCACGGCGTATCGACTAGTGTGCCTGTCCTTGACAATTGTGACATTGCCCGGCGCCCTGCCGACAGGCCCTAGCCTTGAGGACGGCTCAACAGCTTGGTACCTGGGGGGTACTAGATCCAGGAAGCCAAACTGGAGCCCAGAACTGAGGATCCCACCGTCTCCATTCGCTTCCCCATTCCACGGCTCGACTCCGCTGGGAGGCGACGAAACACCAGAAACACCACATCCTCGCTCCCTGGCCCGGCTCTCTGCCCGCCCATGCCTGCCTGATCTCAACCCATCCACTCACCCAAAACCTGCGACAAACCGCCATTTTCCACACAAACCAAGGCGATCCATCCTCCCCCCCTCCTCCCACCCTAACTCCGTTTCTTACACCCCCCTCGACACTTTTTTTTATCCTTTTTTTTTTTTCTAGTGTTATTACCTTAAATCATTTTGCATCCGTCACTTCCCTGTTCTTTTTTTTTTTCCCCGTCCGCTTCATATTTTCTGCACAGATTAATTTTCGCCCCTCGGCCGCATACCTGCATTTCTCGCCTGCGTCGCCTTGGGTCGTGTCCGGTAAAGCCGGCGCCAACACTCTAGAGGGAGAGCCGCACCGCAGAAAAAAACAACAGGACGTGCCCCAGCTCTTGAGACGCTGCCGACCATTGACTGTGTCTAGACCTTTTGTCTTGGCCGAGTCAAAGACGCCGCATCGCATTCGCGCGCGCGGCCGCTACCCTCGACCCCATCTCTCTCCACTTTCGTCCCGTTCACCCACCTTGACTTGGGTACTGGCACCTGCCCCCGAATACTGGGGTTCGGGTACTTTCTCTTGTCCAGACCACACACCTGGCAGGCGTGATCGTCATCGCCCGTCCTCCCCTCCTATCACAGCCTATCGTCTCGCCCAACAGCAACACAGAAGAAGACACCGCTGCATGCACTGCAAACCACCACCGGGTATGACCCCAGATCGCAGGACTGCCACGAGCGCGTCTTCGACCGCCCTCTCCCCCGGCTCTGCGCCACCACCGCCCTCGTCGTCGTCGTCGTCGTCCGCGCCGACAGCAGCAACACCACCACCGCTACCAACAGCAGCAGCGACGCCATCGTCGCTCGCCTACCCGCCAGCTAGCAGGCCTTTGCGCGCAAGCCCTCCCGTGACCGCCGGCGCACCAAAGAATGCGATGGCCGCCTCGCCCTTCCTCCCGCAGCCGCCCTCGTTCAGGCCGAGCGTGACGACCCAATCCGCCTTCGCGCCCCTGTCTGCCACCACCCCGATCCATAACCCCTTCGATCGCGACTCGTCGCTCGCCGTCGGCGCGCCCTTCGGCCTTGCCGCCCCCATGACCACCACATCGCTGCTCATCAGGCGGCTTCCGCTCAACACCTCGGAGGAGTCGATGCGCCTGATGCTCGTCTTCTCCAAGGACCTCGTCGACGTCCAGGTCCTGCCCGCCGAGCAGTCCGAGGACGCAGGGTTCCGATGCGCCATGGTCAAGTTCAAGTCCTTCTCGGGCGCGCAGGAGGCCAAGAAGATGTTGGACGGCAAGCCCAACATCTCCAACGACGCCGAGATGGTTGTCGAGATTGTCGGCGGCAGCCCGCCACAGACAAACGGCAGGAGGTACGCGACCGGCGTAGAGGTCGCCGGCCCCGCTTCCACGGCCTCATCGACCACCTCGTCGGCCACCTCGTCGCGCCAGCCGTCGCGCTTCAACGGCGGCGGCTTCTCATCCATCGAGGCCATGTCGCCGCCCATGAACTCGTCCTTCGCAAGCGATCTGTCCGCCTCCGAGACCAGCAGCCACTTCCAGAGCATATTCTCGCCTCAGTCGCCGATTGGCAACCACCTAACGGACCGCGCACGCGTCTCTGGCAAGACCCTGATCAAGGACGCCGCCGACGACGACGAGACGGGCGAGCTGCTCAAGGACCCCGTCGCCTATGCCGAGAACGGCGCCATGGGCTCGCAGTCGCGTCGTGCCACACAGCCCCAGATCCCGCCCATTTCGCGCATGGCTGGACTGTCGCTCAACACCAACGGCCACTCCATGGTGCCGTACGGGTCCTCGTCCATGGGTCCCATGTCGGCGCATCCCGCGGCGAGCAGCGCCATGTCCCCCATGACGGGCACCGCACCGCACCCTGGATACATGTCGGCGCATCCGGGGTTCCCGCGCCCCAACTTCCCGCCGGTCAATCCGGCGGACCAGAATCCTCCCTGCAACACGCTCTACGTCGGGAACCTGCCCATCGACACGTCTGAGGAGGAGCTCAAAGCAACCTTCTCCAAGCAGAGGGGGTACAAACGCCTGTGCTTCCGCACCAAGCAGAACGGACCCATGTGCTTTGTCGAGTTTGAGGACGTCTCTTTTGCGACCAAGGCCCTCCACGACCTGTACGGTCACATGCTGCACAACAGCGTCAAGGGTGGAATCCGCCTGAGCTTCTCCAAGAACCCGCTCGGCGTGCGCTCGGGCCAGAACCCGACCCAGGGCACCAACGGCGCGAGCCAGCTGTCATCGATGAATGGTATCATGGCTGGTCCTGGCGCCGGCTTCGGCGGGCCCCCACCAGGCCTTTCAGCTCCCCCGGGACTGGGCGGCATGACCAACCACCGTTCAGCCTACGCGCCCTCGACGCCGGTGACGAGTCATGGAACCGGGTCGACGTTTGCGCCGCCCACAAACCCATGGAACTCCCCCATCTATGGTAGCACCATGACTGCCGGCGGGCCGGCCCCGGTGGCCGCCAACGGTGGCGGAAACGGCTTCCCCTCATTCATGATGGGCCGATAGGTTACCGCTTGCCGCCAGAGTCGAGCATCGCCTCGGCGGCAGAGTTGCCTTGTCGATTTACTGATTACTGTCGTTTCGTATCTTCGGCCCAATGCCGTCGCCACACCCGGGACGCTCGCTCACGCGTCAAACAATATTCGATTCGGTCGATGGCGAGTTCGGCTCGTACCTTGACTCCTATCCGCTCTTGCCCAACCTTGCCACACAAACAAGGGTCCATCATCATCCTAGCATACTCACCGCCGCCCATGCGCTCGGCTTAGTGTTCTTACATGCATTCGGCATTGCATGGCACCCTCCAAATCACTCGGCCAGGATCTCATTCATTCTGTTTGCCATCTTTGTTTTACTTTCCAATTATTTTTTTCAGGGGCTTGTTTCCTTCTCACCATTTCCTGGTTCACACCTTGCAGCAACGGCGAAGCACGATACGGCTCATAACATGATTCCCCCCATTGGCGATGTTTCGTTTTCGGGATGGAGTTCCGGCAGGGTCAAGGGGTTGATTTTGGTCTCCCCCGGTTTATCATTTGTTTTTCTTTTCTGTCTTCATTGCACCTATCATCATCTGTTGTACCGGCTCCTTCTATCCTTTGCGTGCTCCCCATTGACAGGCGTTTTGTTCATTTTGACCAACACAATTTTATGGTGTTACTCGCACGGCGCATATCTCCGTCGTTTCGAAGGCGGACAGCCCGAGCATTCTCCGGGGCGTCGCACAAACCCGCAGCCGATACGTGTCTCTGTAACGCACGAAACCACGGATCTTCGGCCGGCCAGACGCTTTCGTGTCCTACTCAAGCTAAGTTTGACCACGGAGCCGTTGGGAGGTACCAGATTGGAGATTGGTGTTGCCAGCACCTCCTCGCTCAGTCTCCCGAGGCAAAATACCAGGCACCGTGTCTTGTCAACAAGCGAGGGGAAGGAATGTGTGACCGCCAGGCTGAAGACTTGGGTTTTATTTGATTTTGCGCCTTCAGACGAGCCCAGTCACCATAACCACAATCATTATCGCCGGAACGGAAGGAAAAGCGGACTCAAAACAAAACCTCGAGAAGGCAGAACGGGGGTTCCACGCAAAGCATACGGCTCCCCCCGCTTCTGACAGCATCTGCTCTCTTGCTTTTTTTTCGACAACAACGACAAACAAGGATGGAAAATAACAAAGAAAAAGAAGGGAAAAAAAAAGTTTCCGTGAGAGAACGTGAGACAAAAGGAAAGAGATGGATGGGAGACCTTGTCTGGCAAGGTGCCTCCACTTTCATCTTGGGGAGTTCTCGCATGGTTGGGTTTTGGCTTTCTAAGCATCTTGCTGCAACGGGAGGGATTTACTTATCAGCCGGGCCAAAGGGTAACTTTCGGGTTTTGCACAGCGGGGGTATTTAGCATCGTCTCTCTTCGTCGTTCGTGTTTCCTCTTTTTTTCTTTACTTTATACTGTTCAATTGCACGATATAAAGGTGACCGGCCAGGGGCAGGTTGATGGCGATGGGATGCCCCTCTATCCTCGTGGTTGGGCGGGCGAGCGGCAATGGGGGAGGCGGGTCTGGTTGGTCGGCGAGACTTGCATCGAGGAGGCCCTCGGGCTCTATTCCCTCTCATTCTCTCATCGCGAAGCCCACGCGCCCCGCCTGACACCCACCGCCCCGACGCCACGCTCGGTATCCTGCAGTTCTTTTTGTCAGGTGTTTTCTTGGGACGCGACATGTCATTAGTAAGTCTGGGGAAAGCATGGTATTTGCTTCAGGTTGTTTTTTTTTCGGGTTTTTTCTTTCTTTCTCTTATCGTACCTATCTCTCGACCATCATGCCTACCGTCGTTCCCTCGAACCGACCCCTTTTTTCTTCCCCTTTATCTATCAATACTACTATACTTGGCTTCAAGGGGACAACTGCGCTTTGCTCTTCTTCTTTTTTTCTTCTTTTTTTCGTCTCTTTTCCGTTGCCATCTCCGTTTTGCCAGAATCGGGGGATCGGAAGGAGTTGTTGTTTTGATATGCTTTTTTTCCCCTGTGTTTCTTGGCTTGCTGACATCCTCTTACCTCAATCCTCTTTTTTTTTTTTTGGGCCTACGGGACAGTGGTGCAAAGATTAAATTGATAAAAGGGCACCGAGATAAACGGGAACATGGACAAGACTTGTTTCTTCGCTCGTGCGTGTATCGATCAGAATGGGCAAGATGAAATATACGCTTTTGGTGGTCCATCCAACGAATGTGTTTTCATGTGTCAGACGGGGCCGCCAGAGATGGGGAGTGGCCGGGCCCCGGATTCACCCATGTTTTGTCACTTTGTCCGAGGAATGATGCACACATTCGATGTCTCTTTTCCTTCTCGACGACACATGAACGCCTCCGACGCCAGCAGGTGATGGTCGTGTGGGACGAACAGGCAGTGAGTCCGACGCGGTTGGTTAGGCACAAGGACGGCACACTTTTTTTTTTCATCTTGTTTATTTGCACATGTATATCAATGTTAAGCATAAGGGCGGCGCAGCTTCGGTTTGGAATATCGTCCCTGTGACACGGAAATGAAATGAAAAAAAGAAAAGTGGCAAAAATACCTGCCCTTTTTTCCCCCCCCTCATCGGCCACGCTGGTTCGCGGTCTGTCCCGCGCGCTAGCCGCTGGCAAACAGGGGGGAATTTCCCCGAGGCGGGCGGGCGGGGGGTGGGTGGCACGCCCGGATCAAAAAAAACGAGACACTTTTCAATTTTTGCCCCAGTGCACACCACCACTAATTGAAAAGTGTCCCGTTTTTTTTTATCCGGGCGTGGGTGGTTGTGGTGGTGGGCTGGTGACCAGGTGGGATCATGATCAGACGCCCGCCCGGTTTGGAGCAGGGGGGTGAGGAGGAGGCAGAATTGGTAATTAGTACGATTAGTTTAGTATTTAGTATGCGATTAATATGCCTTTCCCAGCTTATGTTATTTTACAAAATTTAGCTATTTTTACAAAAACAGCATCATTAAATGCGCGAAAATTTAAAATTTATACCCATATATTGTTTGTATTTGTATATAATTTATGTAAAAATATATTTACGTTTAATTTGGTAGAATTTTATGGATTGGAAGCTTAACTATTGCATTTTTTATCGTAAAGCACAATTGCTTTCGCTAACAGATCCTTAGTATTTAGTATACTAATTACCAACTCTGGGAGGAGGGGCATCGGGGATGTTCTAAACCGCACCATTAACCGTTCGTCGTTTTTTTGGGAGGGGCTTTTGATGCCCGTGATGCGCCTTCTTCAACAGGGTCCGTCCGTGAAGTGCCGTTGCAGCAACAGGATGGATGGAACTTGAGCTGGAAACCGTCTTCTCTCGCGGACAAAAACACTTGCAACGTGTGCTTACGCGGCGTTGAACAACCTCTCCAGTTCTCTGCACTTGGTTTCAGTCACACATCTCTCCCACCCACCCCTTTTTCTAGAGTCACAGCAGTCCATTATGCTACTGCTTCCTTCATCAGTCCCCCTCCGGGACGGCCACCCGGGGAAGGAGCCCGCCGACCTGCGACGTGGGCCGGCTTACCACACAGTACCGCGAAACGTCCCTGGGCTTGGCTAGGCTGACAGGATCCATCCGTCCGTTGTTTTCTGGGTAATAAAAGAGCTTTCTTGTGTAAAAAGAGGGGCCCTCGTGAGCTGCCGCGAAGGTGGTGGGGACAGGAAAAAAAAGGGGGACTTGGACCCTTTGCTGCTAGTCTGATCCTCCTTCTAGTCTGCCATTGCGTCACGCGGGTTGGAAAATGTGTCAGTCGTGCCTTGTCGGCGAGCATGTGCTCCTCCGTGGGCCATTAAACGCACTCGTTCCACGTTTCGTTTGGTTTTTTGGCTGCTTGTAAGGCAAGGAGTCGTTCTCGAGGCTATTATTTTGTTGGAAATATGCTCAGCTGAGTTTTGACCCCCATCCATCCTTTCTGGCCCAACCACTTCCCTCTCGTCCGAGGGGGCGTTGACGAATCCTAAACTATCCTGCGGCAGGGATAACCTTGCAAATGGCAAAAGCCCATCAGGCACCTCCATGGTTTTCCTGGCCTCTCACGCTTCAGCCCTCGACCGCCCCGTACTGTAAGTCGCAGGAGGCGGAGGTGGTCATGTCCCAACTTTGAGTCAAGGAGCAAAGTGCAGCACCAAGTCAGCGAGTGTTGAGCACATGAAAGCGCCCCACAGCAACCTTTTGGGAGGAATATACCAACAGCGTTCGCTCGGCGCGGCGTTCCTCTGGGGAAGGATTTCCCAGGATTTTGCTCGAAGCTTGCCCAAGACTGGATGATGCATCCGGCCCTGACAGGCACAGGCTGACTGTAAGCTTTCCAAGCCCCCTGGGCACTTTATGCCTTGGCTGCAGCTCTGGGGACCAGCATGTGAAGATTCCTCCTCCAACTCTCTGGTTTCTAAGGTCCAAAAAGTACGAACAAGGGCCGCGAACTTTGTGCTTTCCAAGGGGCGAGAGTGAGTCCGGGACGAACCGCCTACCTTGCCCCCTGTACCATACGTTGAATACTGTGTAGAACAAAATCCCGCCGATGGATGCGGGGTTATCGCGGCCGAGCGGCCGGGAGTGAATGCAGTAGTCACAGCCCAGCCTCGCCAGATGCGGCAGAGATCCGACGAGCCCGACCAGCGGCCCCCGTGCAACATCCTCCTCGGTAGACACTACGACTGGTTGATCGTCCGGATAGCCAGAGAGATGTGGCATATTGTCGCCAAAGACATGGGCGAGTCCGGTCTTTCCGAAGCACTCTAACAATTTAGAGCCCACAGACCAAGTCCAGGAGGCCTTCGATGTTTTGGGCAAGGTCGAAAAGGTGTACGTGTAGGCGGAGAAAGAGAAGGAGGAGATATACTGATCAAAACATTATTGAACACCCAAACTAGATGCGTAACGAAGTATTGATATCTACTGTCATTCCACCGGTCTCAATCTGTATCAGAACATGAAAGGGAATAACAAACAGAGGAATAAAATGAAACAAAACATAAAGCAGAAAGGACCTGCAACCCATATCCAAAGAAAAAATCTAAAGGCGCGCAGGGATTGTTATTTGTACAGGGTATTTATCGTGGGAATCGTGCCGAAAAGAAAAAAAGAAGAAGGCTTCAGTTATCCAAATTACAGACATTGACGGAGATGAAAGTGGTAGGTTGGAGCGCTGCAACCTCTGTATGCTCAAGACAGGTCCCCCCCCCCTTCAGCACCTGACGGACCGCCTGCCGCGCGCGGCAAGGAACGCAACCTTGCGGCGCGCCAGCACCTGCCGCGCGCGCAGGCCCTCGTCGCCGTCCCCGGCCAGCGGCTCGCGCAGCAGCAGGTGCTCC